CACTTTTGCGGGTGACTCCCGCAAAAAGTTCAACTCTTTTCATCGATTGAGGAAGGATGCGCCAATCCATGATTTGGGTGGCCAAAACTGAACTTGAACACAGTGCTGCAGAGTCGAAATAGAAGGCATGGTGACTGTTTGGGGGTAGTAGCTCCCGAAACATTCCAAACCCGAAACCCGATTTTAGGGCCTGCGCACAACACATATTAAGACGAAGGAGTTCTGATCTACACGAAGGCCTCTGAAGGCCTCTAATCAAAGCCACGATATTTGAGGTGGCTGGCAAAGGTGCATGCAGCCAATATAGGGGCCGGAATAACTAGTAATTAAAATTGTTTGTAAGTCTCTAGTACGCCCCTCGAGCTTGTTCTAACACTCAGGCCCTATACCCTAAACACTGCAGAACCCTTATGGTAACTTTCGTAGTGACCTTTACACCTTTATGGTAACCTTCGAAGTCACCCTTTAACAGCAAAAGGTAAAGTAGTCCAATTAATGCTCCTATTTTGGCTGGTGTTATGTCTTAATCAAGTTTAAGAACTTTGGGTTCAGGGTGTGGTTTTGCACGCCATGTTGAATGTATCCCGAACGCTGCAGGTTCTCCACCAGCTAGTGCGGGGATGCGGCGCACACTGCGTCGCGGTGACTGTGCCGCCATGTGGTGGGGGTCTCGGCCTACCGCATTGAAACGGGTCTTCCCTGCCGAACCCTTATAGTATGTTTGCCACTGGTTATTCAGATGTCTGTGGCACCAGAATCCTCAAAATTGATATGTATGTTTCCTTGTATCAGCGTATTTCTGACGTTGGGTTTTGAGGCTTATCGTTCAAGGGCTCTGCGGTTCGGGTCTTTTCGGGTTCAAGGGTTGTTGGGCTTCGAGTTAGGAGGTTCTGGTTTCCACAGCTGGGGGGTTCAAGGGGTTATAAGTTATAAGTCTGCTCGGAGGTTCATGGGTAGTTTAAAGAGGGGGTATAAGTCCCCTAATCTGGGTTACAACTATAGCCTACTTGTAGCTACTCATGAACTTCCAGTAGGGCGCTGGGTGGCCTAGCTGAGGTACGTAGGCAGCTGAAGCCCATGGAATGTCTGCATGGGCGTGGATTTCACAGCTCCGTCTTCGCTGCGAGGTCGTTGAGGTGTGGAGCCAGCAGGAATGGTCTCATTACAGTTACCAAGCTTGCCCACTTTTTCTGACACCATGTGGTTCAGTTGCGATTCCTCAAAGATTATCGTAGTCCTGATTCCTATAGAGCAGAAGCCCAGACTGGAGAAGCCACCAGCCCTAAATCCGAATACTCCCAAACCCTAGACCCTAAACCCTGAAACCTTAACCCCCAACGCCTAGATTTCGGAAAATGCAGGTCAGAGCGGACGTACCATCGCAGCTGTCCGACAGGCCCGGAGCCTGTTGTGAATCTTTCTCCCGATTCTCTGTTTTAACAATATTGCAGACCTTAAAATGATAGAAGGGTCCCTTGTATCCCTTATCCCTTATTTGGGGTATAATGGACCCAACAATGATAGAAGGGTCCCTTGTATCCCTTATCCCTTATTTGGGGTATAATAGACCCTACAATGATAGAAGGGTCCCTTGTATCCCTCATCCCTTTATTGAGGAATATAGCCGACCCTTTCATGATAGAAGGAAACCCCAAACCCTAAACCCTAAATCCTAAACCCTACACCCTAAACCCTTGTCAAGGGATTTTGGAAGGTCTGTGTTCGGGCTTTGGGTTCAGGACGAAGGCTGTTCCTAAGGCTGTATAAGGCTTTGGTCAGGGTTGATCTAGGGTTGTATTGGGGGGCTGTAGGGGTTTAGGGTTTGGGTTTAAAGTTTGCGCTTGGAGTTTAGAGTTTTGGGGATGCTGGTTTGGAGTTCGATAGGGTTTAAAGTTTAGCCCTATGCTTCGTTCGGGAGTCTGAGCGAAGTCCCGACAGAGCACACCCCGACAATGTTCACCCTAAACCCCAAACCCTAAACCCTAAACCCTAAACCAAAGCAGCTGTGACTTGAACGCTACTAAAAGGGGGCTCCACTAGGCCAAGGTATCAAGGTAGATGAGTCCGTCGACCCCTCGAGAATATCAGACGCGCAGTGCGCCTTCCCTAAGTAGAGGAGTCCGAACACTCCTACGGTCCCCCAACTTGTATATATATATATATACGTATGTGTGTATATACATATGTATTACAAAGTACCTTACCTTTAACATCCTGCCTTCCGAATTATTCCGAATGGCTGTCGCATAAATACCGAAAGCCGCGAGCTCAACTGCGTAGCTTCCTGTGTCAAGTCACGGAGCCTTCAGCCAACAGCCAGCCCTAAACCCTAAACCCTAAACCCTAAACCCTAAACCCTAAACCCTAAACCCAAGACCCTAAACCCTAAACCCTAAACCCTAAACCCTAAACCCTGAACCCTAAACCCTGTACCCTGGGCCCTGAGCCCTGAACCAACCTGTCGCTCAGGCCGTCAACGATGGCCTACGCATGGCCTCGCCGGGTTCTCGGAGTCAGGGGTGCGCTTTTCAATTTCAGGAGAGGTCTACACCCTAAACCCTAAGGCCCCAAACCCCAAACCCCCAGGCCCTAGGCCCTAAACCCTAAACCCTAAAGCCGAAACCCTAAAGCCCTAGGCTCTAAACCCTAGACCCCAAAGCCTTAGGCCCTAAACCCTAAACCCTAAAGCCCTGGACCACGACTTCAGGGGTTGAACATCCCAAGGCCACAACAGCCCGAAGCCCTGGTGCCTTTCACCCTATGCTTTTAAGCCTATAAGCCCGGACGCCCCAAAATAGTATAGGGTTCAGGGTTTAGGGTTTAGGGTCTAGGGTTGAGGGTTCCTGAACTATAATGTAGGAGCCTGGTAGAATTTTCATCACTATTTCCCCAGACCCCTGGTTCTAGATACACTGCCCCAATTTAGGGTTGAGGGTTTAGGGGCCCAAAGCTCTATATAAGATCCTAGACCCAAAGAAATCCTCACAGCCCGAAGCCTTGAATCCGAAGCCCCGCTGCCACTCCACTCAGGCGCGGCTCAAACCTGGTGGTCGCTGACTTTGACGCAGCAGCTTGCTTGGAGGTTTTGGGTGGTTGTTACTATCCCTTTCTTAACATGTTTACAGCCATTACCCTAACCCTAAACCCTCAACCCTCAACCCTCAACCCTCAACCGTAAACCCTAAACCCTAAACCCTAAACCCCAAGGGGTTTTGAAGCAAACAGGGCAAGTTAAAAAAGGGGACCGCCGAGCTTCCAAAGACTAGGACTCTAAACAGCTGTTGCAAAACTACCCTAAACCCTAACGCCTTGGTTCGGGTTTAGGGTTTAGGGATTAGTAGGGTTTAGGGTTTAGTAGGGTTTAGGGTTTAGGGTTTAGCATAAAGCCTAAACCCTAAACTGTAGACCTGAAAGCGCTATAGAGCCCCGAAGAAAGCTCTCAAATGACCTTCTGGACTTCTAGAAATCCTGTGTACACCCCGTTTATTTCTAGCCCATGATCACTTACAAAACGGCATTACAAGCCCGAGATCTAAAACACGATCTCGACCCGTAAACACCTATCACCACGCTGTAGGACACTGTAAAAATCGCATGATGTAGAACTCTGTTAGCAAAGCTTATGCGCTCCTTAGCAAACCCTAAACCCTAAACCCTAAAGCACTGTGAAACCCCCACTCAGTCGCTCGAATCCACCCGAGTCGCCGGATCTTTGAGGCCCATAGCGTAGCCTCATCGGTTTAGCGTTTATCAAGGGATTGAAGGAGGGACCCTTAAAGGGACCCTTGGGTTTAGGGTTTAGGGTTGGGGCTTTATGAGACTATATATAAGGGGTATGTAGGGGTTGTATAGGGTATTAGGATTAGGGGTCCCTTCTAGGGGTCCCTCCTATTGTCCCTTGAGTTTAGGGCTTAGGTTTAGGGTTAACCGCTATACTTCCATAGAGTTCCCAACTATACTTATATCTATAGTGGGCTCCCAAACCCTAGTCTAATGATATCTTACTTTGTGCTTCGCTGAAGTCTTAAGACTGTACAGGCCTGGGACCAAAACCCTCAACCCTGGACTTGTATCCCTTCAGCCCGAAGCCCTGAACCCCTGAAACCCATAACTCTGAACCTCAACGGCTTTGGTTTTAGGGTAAACCCTAAACCCTAAACCCTAAACCCTAAACCCTAAACCCTATAGGGTTTCTTTCCTATGAGCACGAGTTGTAGCCACTTCCTGTCACTGAAGTTTGTACTGTTCAGGGATACTCTTTTTACAGACCCTAAACAGCGGCCGAGACGGATGGCCCCAGCTCCCGCCAACGGCGGGAAGAGGGTCGCCTCCCTGGACGCCTGGAGATGGTGGAGCTGCGACGCGAACAGGCCAGGGATGCAGAAGTGATCTCCACGTTGCGCAGGGAGCACATGGAGGCCAACGAGGAGGTGGCATCGCTTAAGACGTTGCTGAACGTGCAGACCACGGTGTGGACTCGCAACCCACCGCTGCCGAGCGTGTGCAGCAGGTGGAAGAGCTGGAGGAGAGAACTGCAAGGGAACTACGGCAGGAAGTGGATGCTGCTTTGGCGACAGAGGCCGCGAGAAGTTCGCTGCCAGAATCCTCTGTTAGACACATGAGATCCCGGCCAGGCACAGCTCTTGAAGGAGCTGGAAGACAAGGAGGCAGGCCCCTGCAATGTAGGAGCCTGATTAAGAAACCCGGTACGCCCCAATATATCAGGACTCATATTAAGAACCCTAATAAAGACCCAGGGTTTTTGGAATCAGGTTCCGATATTACCCTGATAAACCTTAAACCCTAAACCCTAAACCCTCAACGCTAAACCCTCAACTCCCTAAACCCTCAACTCCCTAAACCCTCAACTCCCTCAACTCCCTAAACCCTAAGCCCTCAACACTAAACCCCTAAACCCTCAACCCTAAACCCTAAACCCTAAGCCCTCAACACTAAACCCCTAAACCCTCAACCCTAAGCCCTAGTTGACTTGAGCCCAGGAGCTATCCCGTATGGCGCCCGTCCAGCGCGACGCCCTGTACACAGGGGACATGTTGCACTTCAACGAAAGCGGCTACAGGCGCCCGACGATTTGGGTTTACGGTTTAGGGTTTAGGGTTTTGGGTTTTGGGTTTACGGTTTACCTTAGCCCCTGCACACCTACCTTTTGGGAGATTTCTATAACTCACAAGAAGGAGCGGCAAAATGGTACAGGGGTAGTTCTCGAAATTAGCGTCCCGTTTAGGATCGTACTATATTGGGGACCTCAAAAGGGACCCGAATTTAGAGAATTACCCATATACGTTTCTATGGTTCTCCAGGCTTAGGGGTTTCGGAGTTTGAGGGTTTATAGGACTAAGGGTTTGGAACAGTCGCGGGTCTTGGCCGGAGGCCGCGGTTTAAGGCCTAGGGCTTAGTGCTTAGGGTTTTGAGTTTCAGATTTGTGTAACCCTAAACCCTAAACCCTAAAAACCCTAAACCCTAAACCCTAAACCCTAAACCCTAAACCCTAAATCCTAAACCCTAAACCCTAAACCCTAAACCCAAACCCCTGCTTGTTTTAAGGCTTCAGGGCTTAAGCTTTGAGCCTTGTAGGGTTGCCGAGCTGGAGACCGGAGGGCCATGGGTTGCGCGCCGAGCGCTTGGCGCGTGGTGGCTGTAAGAGTCTGGTGGGTAGGTTTAGGGTTGAGGGTTCAGGGTTTAGGGTCTGGGGTTTAGGGTTTAGGGTTCAGGGTTTAGGGCTTAGGGTCTAGGGTTTAGGGTCTAAGGTTTAGGGTCTAGGGTTTAGGGTTTGGGGGGTCTAGGGCCTAGGGTTTAGGGTTTAGGGTTTAGGGTTTAGTCCGGTGGTTCGTGCAATGACAGCTTCGCGATGCCACTGTGCACAGATCAGCATTGTTAAGCTTCTACCGGTATTATAGATATAGACTTTTAGATGTTTGTATACATCTATACGCACAGTTTATTATATATGACATGATATAACATCCATTGTATTTTGTCTGCTCCAAAGCCTTATAGACTTGTAGAACCCTGTTCTATTGACCCTAAACCCTAATCCCTAAACCCTAATCCCTAAACCCTAAACCCTAAACCCTTAACCCGAATTACTCAGGGCCCTAGGTTAGCCTTGCTCTTGGAGGTTCCTGGCGGCAGTCGTCGAGAAGGCCGCGATGAGGGAGCGACGGTTTAGGGCTTTTCGGGCTTGAGGGTTTGAGGTTTAGGGCTTCAGAGCTTTAGGGTTTGAGAGTTTAGGGTTTGAGGGTT